TGATGACTGATTAATCAACTATTCTCCTCACATTTCATTTTTAGATAGCCGAGGGGGGGGTAATAAAATGTCCATTTCACAATAACTAAAAACAGTTGCCTGCTGCCTGATGATTGCAAATACATGAAACTATTAGTATTGGTTGGTTATTGTATGTTGGAAACTTATTAAGAAATTTTCATATATTTCAACTCTGCTCTGTTTCCCACAAGACATATCATCTCATTTCACCAATCAATCATAAAAGATGTGTTTATATTTGCTGAAATGCTCTCCTAATAAGATCAGAGTATAATAATTGATTGATCTATTAATGAACTGATTCAGATTGGCCATTATTGAATGGGTTCTATGTCAATTCTAACAATTTTGTGTGTGTAGGTGTTGGTCAGGAATTGAAAATACATTTGCACACACAAAAGGGATTAAAGAAGTCTATAGCCTGATGTGCAGTTAACCGACTTTTTGATCAGAGATTTTCACTCCATAATGTTTGATTGATATAAGTAGTCACGAGTGAATTGTCCAGGATGATTATGTTGAAAAATAAATATTTGTATAAAAGGATTCTTTTCATCATTATGGTTAATGAGAGAATCACTTTAAAACAAGAAACCACAGATGTACATGTGAGCAAGGACAAAAATTACCCAGGCAGGGTCAGAATACACCAGCCGTTTATGCAATGAGGGAGGTGAAGCCATAGAGTTAGAAACAGCAGCACCAAGTATACATATGCCATATCCTGCCAAAACACAGCTGAAGAGAACAGATAATATATTAATATCAGTCTGAAAGAGTTTTGCTCCAGTCTTAAGATAGATTTGTTTTGGTTTTTTTTACAGTTTCCTTTTGTAGGTTATTTAAAGACAAAACCTATTTTAGATTAGAAGAAAAATACTTTTTTAGCAAGTGAATACTTGACTAACTTTTCTAGAATAATGATTATTTTCAGATACAAGTCCTACTATTTAACACATAGCTGGGGAGAGGAAATGGATTCCTACCTTTCCCTCTGCACATAAGTTCAAACTGGGCTCTCCAATTTCTTATCCTGAACTATTATCCATTACACAGTCTGTACATACACCTCCAGTCATAAGTGACAATTATATATCAGGCCACACACCTAAAGGGTCCTACTCTAGTAACATCTACACAAGTCTTATCAATTACATGCAATACATTGAAACATATACCTAACACCACCATTTTGAAGATTTTACATTGAGCAGCAATGAGTTTCTAAAGAATTAATAAAGTTTTCTTTCTTTTTTTCTTTCATCCAACATGTTACTTTTAGCGGATACCCATATTTGAGTAGACATTCTGTTTACTTTAAACAGTGTTTATTTCATTTACTAATCTGCATACTCAAGAAAACCTAAATAAAACGTGCCCTCCTGCAAAGAAGGATGCAGATTTGAATCCTGCTTGAAGTAATAAATATATGTTGGATTTATAAAAAAAAAAAAAAAAAAAAAAAAAAAAAAGAGAAAATAGAAAAATCCATTAATTCTTTAGAAATTACTTTAACTGAATTAAATAAAACAAATTAATTGAATTAGAGTTCATGTGTTACAGAAGAGCAAAAGCATATTACTCTGAGAAATAAAAACAAATATATAAATATCTATGTAACAGCTTCAAAAGACCTTGGCTATTAAGCTGAGGGTCCCACAAAAAAGAGACTTCAAATTAGGCCCCTCAGCTAGTAATGCCGGTTTTGAATATATTTTGTCCTGATTTCAGTTTAAGCTTATCTCTAGACTATCATCATCATTGCAATGACATTTGACTCTTTGAAAGGAATTTCCATAATTCTTTAAAGCTGTTTCTATTTATTCCATCCCACTTAAATGAAGAATACAGATACTGTTGCATGATCGCAATTCCTCATTTCCGCAAACAGTAACAACTACACGATACAACAGACTTGATCTTTATGGCTACCGGCTTCTTTCATAAAGATTAAATAATGTCAAACTGATAACTATGTTATCTCGTTATCTAAATAGCTTATTACTGTCAACTCATTATCTTTACCCTTAGGCCTGAGAACAGACAAAACTGAATTAAGCGTATAGATAATTTCATTCAGACACACACTTAACCTTACTCGATGTACGAGTCATTTAATGAATATACACATGAAGGGGGGGGGCATTTTCTTAAGATATGAACTTTTCAGCTTGCCAAAACATTAAAAAAATAAACAAAACAAAAACATTGTGTTGACAGAATTACTTAATTAAAATCCTTAAAATTTCTTTAGAGTCAAAAATTTTTTTTTCATCAAATGGATAACATAAAACTTAAGTTAGTTGTCGTACTGTTTCAACATGAAAAAATACATCATCTTGGACAATCACAAAAACAAATTTTGAACTGCTTTGTCAAAATCAAAAAACTAATAAAATTTTATTTTTCTTACTCACAAATCACCAATAAAAAAGAAAATGGTAGGATTATGTATGTACAGATTGGCACTTCTTTCCAAAATTCACTTATACTATATATGTATGTAATAATAAAGACAAATGGAAAACTTATCTTTATCAACACATTTCATTCTTGGAGGGACTTCATTAAGGCAAATGCAAGGATTTTTATTTTATGACAAGTATTTATATACAAGAGCAAAAATGTTGTTTTTTTTCAAAATTTTTATATATATGAGTGCTCATGAATATTCATCAGATTAGGGGAAAAGTCAGGCAAGTTTATGAACATGAGGTGATACAGTTCAATGGCTAATAACTGAAAGTGTGTAGATTTTTTTTTTCTTGCATATAAATACTTGTCACAAAATAAAATCCTTACATTTGCCTTGATAAAGTCCCTCAGAGGCTGAAATGTATTGGTTAAGATAAGTTTTTATTTTGTCTTTATTCATATTGTTCTTTTACAGATAGAATATATCTGAAATTTTTACACCCCTCACACACATATTATATATACACACATATATATATATATATATATATATATATATAGGGTAAATGATCCCGACAGAGTTATACATTAATGACAATTGGAAAAAACGTTCATAAAAGTATGTTTAAAAAAAAAAAAAAAAGCAAAAGCTGATAATGTATTTCACCCATCAAAGAAGAAAAGTGAACTATGTGTGTATGTATTTTAAATAAACACACAAAACGATGCATTATTGGATATTTTTTCTAAACATTATACTTTCATGAACAGTTTTTTTTGAAAAATCTTATTAAACAAAATGTGTCATCTGGCAGGATTCAAACCTGTGTTCCTGTGCAAGAGAAACTGTTGTTTGGTACAACTTGCTTTTGACCACTCGCCAATGAAGAGTTTCATAATCAATCCTGGTTCTACCTGAATTTAAGCACGCTTCACTCTTCAGATTTCTTATAAAGTCATTACTGCTCAGTTTTGCATCCATAACATAAACAAAGAACTTTTAAAGACTTAGTGGAATCTTAAGATAAAAAGATGCCAGATTACTAAATAAAAAAAGTTCAAGGTCTACAAATAGTTGGTCGTCTCCATCCAAGATAGGAAAAAGGATCCAAGTGTTCAAGAACAAATGCCCGAAAAAGCTCCTTTGCATCTTCTGCTAAGAGCATAAAACCAACAGCTATGTACAAAGCAAGGTTGAATGTCTTGTGGGCCGACATTTCACCACTGTTAAACATTGGAAGGGTTGCATGGTCTGGATACATCACATGGCATGACAATCATGCAAGATACTGTAGAAGGTGGGCGCAAGTGAGAACAACAATGCAAGAGTTGGTCAGACAACATTAAAGAAGGGCAATGACAATGCCAGAACTCCTGAGAACCACTGCCAACAAATTATCCTGGAGGAGGTTGTCTGTTACTTCTGCCCTCAGGTACCCCCTGACGATTGAAGTAGTCAAGATACTGATGATGATGATAATATTAACTATAAAATTCAACTTTTATTTTCATTACTTAAATACACATATTTGACACTTTAAAAGCTTGATTTAAATTCAATCACTTTCACAAAAGACCAAAATTGCTATGTATTTTTACTAACCAAATGAAAAACAAAATGCAGTTTTACTTTTACATGACAGGGAGAGGGAAACGTAGACATAGTTTTTCAGCTAGCCATTACAGAGACAGTACACACCCCTGAGTAATGAAAGTTGCCCTGCCAATCTCCTGCTCCAGGAACTAAGAAGCATATTGCCGCCATAGTTTTGAACCATATCTGTTAACATCTGTGCTTTATCTTCATTTTATGCATCTGTTAGCAAGCCATGTCCTCAGGTATCAGAAAAGCCAATGAAAACTTGTAAGGGTGTTATGTTTAGTGCAAAACTGGGCGTCATTAAGTGTTTTAATCATAATGAATAAAATAAAAGACTGTGTGAATATCAAATGAACCTACATCACACTCTTTGTAATATTTACATGTAGTGAGACGTGGGTTATTTTTAGGGGGCCTGGAAACTCTTAGAAATTTAATCCATAATTGTCTCTATACTTTATGCAAATTCAATTTATAATTTTCTCAGGAACACTGTACATTAAGATAGTGGGGGAAACAGAGGAAAACATACTAGACAACACCAATATTACTATATATACTCACATATCAAATGACTTTTGAAGACCTAATTTTAAAGCTAATTTTAAGATCACATCATACATGAGAGAGAAAATTAGTGTATGTACTACTGACTGTAGCTATGTTGTTGACCAAACTATATATCCATTTACTGTAGTCAAATTAGCTTCAAAATTAGGTCTTCAAAGGTTGCATAATACACAAGTATATACAGTATGTTGATATTAAATGTTTATATTTGTTTTCATAGTGAAAATGTCATGCAATATTATTCTGGGGTCTGGGAACACTCAAAAAAATTTTCCCACATAAATTAATAACTGCTTCAGTTTGTTGGCATTTTGGTTCTTTGAAAGTTTTTCACATTCAAAGAGAGATGATATTAGTGATTATCTTTTTAAAAGAAACAAAAGTTGACTTTTACCTTCACTGTCTTTTGAATTCTCAGAGAAGGTCCAGGGTACTCCGAAGAATATAAGTCCGTTAAAAAGAGAGAATTTATCAATGTGGATTTTCCCAAGCCAGATTCACCTGCAAAGATATTCACAATTATTAAGTAATCATGTATTTTAAAAGAAATATTTTTAAATGTACACAAAATAAAAATGAAAGCATGAAACATTAACATGAAAGCATGAACATTAACAAAAAAAAAAACAATTGCTTTCCTCTTTGGTACCTCGAATTTACAAATATAAGTGCAATACTAGATTGGTAGCTAAATCTCATAATTTCACTGTTGTTACTTGCAACTCACTGAAATTTTTTTCCTTTTGATATAAATTAAATTTAAATTTGAACAAGGGAATGACTCCTATCGAAATATAGAAGGAGAAAACCAGAAGATGGTGGTCACATCAGCAAGATCAAAATGAGACAAAATGGATGTCAAGTTGAGCAAGAAATCACCAATCACTGGATAATGCCTTACAATACATATTTGTTGCAGCAATTTAACTGTCATATCAATGTTGAAATCTGCACATCAATTAATTCAATCAAATATTGCATCAAATACATATCAAAGAGGTCAGATCAAGCTGTTTTTGCATAAACTCCCACTGAAAATTCTTTCCCTTTGATTAAGATTAAAATTAAATTTAAATTTGAACAAAGGAATGACTTCTATCTAAAATATAGGAGAAATCTAGAAGAGGGAGGTTACATTGGCAAGATCATTGATAATACTGAAATGCATCATTTTTCTCCACAAATTATAAAAATTTAAAATCTATCATCATTTTCTTACAACAAATGTGAAACACAGCAAGGTGCAGGTAATTTAGCTCGTGATTAATAATACTTATACATTTGCATTAAAAGTGTGGGGGGGTGCATTGTGAGTGTCCCACATCTCAAGAACTGACTGCTGCTCATTCTGACCAGATAAAGAAAGAAAACATTTATATATATATATATATATATATATATATAGGAATTTTCCAATGAACTCCTAGTGGAAGAAACCTGTCACAAAAGTTTTTCCAATTTATCATCTTTTCTTTCAAGTGTGTGTGTGTGTGTGTGTGTGTGTGTGTGTAAGTATCAATTCACCTCAAGCAAGGCCATAATGCCACTAAGATGCAAAGGGCTACTGGAAGTGAAAGAGAAGAAACTAGAAACACAACCCAAAACAAAAATAGAAAACAAAGGAAATATAAAATAGAAGTTAGTCCTTTACAATATGTTGAGAGAAATTAACCCCGGGAGAATTCACAGCTTTTTGATATTTCACAGAAACATGTTAGAATTACAGGAGGACCAAAATCTTACCAAAAAGAAAAAAAAAAATCATCCCAAAATCCAAGTCTACAATAAGAGTTCTGGGAAAATGTTCCAGAAATAAAATCCTGAACTGAAGAAAACAACTCACTCAGTTCAATTTTTGGCACAACACACAGCTGGAAAACATTAGATTTCTAAAATGCTTTCTATATTATACATCCTTTGTGATGGCTGTTGAAACAAATACAAATGAAGAGTTTTAAAAAAAAAAAAAAAAAAAAAAAAAATACCTACATGAATAAACATTATTGTTGACATGAAACTGTTTCTCTTTCCATAAGAGTTTATGTAACAATGTCTATCCAACAATAAAAACGTGTCTTTAGATTTTGTTTATTTCTTAGTTTTCAGACGTCTTAAGTTTTTCTTATGTGGTTTTTATAGAAAAGTAAGTTTGGCCACTTCCCACCCCCACTGGTCTCAACTACTGAAGAATACACAATAAACACTGTAAATGTGAATGAAAGAAATTTTTCCATAATCTAGAGACCAGAATTTGTTATTTGATAAGAATTTCTTTAAAACTAATGTTTTCCTTCCAGTGGCTTGGTTCAGAACGCAAGGAGAAGAAAAAGAGGAAACAGAACCTAAGACTGACTGGAAGGCTATTTTTAAAGACAATACAAAATCATGGCTTTCTTTAAGAATGGAACGAAGATTACAGGCTTGGATTTCTGGGAAGAAATACATAAAAGAAGACAAGTATAGAGAAGGAAGAGAGACGGACACATTTAAAGAAATGAATGAAGATGAAACTAAGAAATATATAGAGAAGAAAAAAATGTTTCATTTAAATAAAAGGTAAAAAGAAAGAAGATAATAAATGGAAAGAGGAACAAAAGAGTATAAACATTTAAAAGATGAAAAGGAGGAGAAAATTTAAGTAGAAAGTCACAATTTTATACAACAAATATTTTTCAATATAATCTATAATCTCCTCCCTTGTCAATGCATCTAATCTAATAATAAATATTATTGTATTTGTCAACTTCTAAGACTTCAATTTTCCCCTTCTCAAAAAAAAAAAACAAAAAAAACTCTCCTGGAGCTTGTCTACAAAAGTAAGGCATCTGGTTGTATTAATGTCTATCCAGGTTCCATAGACTACCAGTACTTGTACCCAGCTTAACTCTACAATACTATAGTATTAAATGAATTTAATTTTTGAGATGAAGAATCACATGCCTTGCAATTCAGACCAGCACATTCATCTTGGTATTTTTATTGACATTTTGGTTGATGAACTCTTCAGCCTTCTTCAGGTGTCTGTTGTAATACTCTGTAACCTTCTCAAAATTTTGAACCAGACACATTATTCAATCCAGAGTCATTATCTGTTCTTATTTCTGTTTTATTCATTTCTGTGTCACAAGTGCATTTCTTTCACTGAGCCAAAGTATATATGAGTTTTCAGCACTACTAAATACAGAGATTGAACTCAATGGCCAGGAAAGCAGATCTGTTTTATCTGATCCATTAGAAAAATGAAATGGTGTAATTCTAGTTCCCAAACGGTGCAGCATAAGGGGATAGCAGAATTATTGAACGACAAAGAATTAGAAACAGTTTCAAAAAATTCATATCTCAAAAATAATGATTTCAAAATATAAAATATTATGGATTACTTGTAATTGCATGCATGAGTCAAAGTATATATAGTTATAAATTATTGACTAATTTTATCATTGGGATATTTTTGCATTCTATCAAATATTAAAAATATATTAACTAGGGTCCACAAATTGAAGGAGAGAGTTATCGATGATAATCCGATTTTGAATATGTGATTATTTCCCTTTAACCTAATCTCTATTTTTAAATGTACTTTTTCTCACAAAGTTTAGTGAGGTACAAGCAAATTTTTTTATTCTGAAAATGTGTTCCAGAGAAAGAAAAAAAACCTGAGAACCACAGTTCTAGAGCCTTAACAAACCTAATAGCTGTACTTAAGTGGTGGAATTTTTATCTAGTCTCTTTTCTTAATCAGAGGCTCCCAGATGTTATTCAAGATGAGCATGCTGGTCCCAATAGTAACTTTTTTTGGGGGTTATATGTTATCAAATACATTAATCAGGGATCAAACACTATACAGTGAAATTTTCAAATAAAAATTCAGCTTATTAATCCACCCTGTAACATACAAAAAAAAAAAAAAAAGAAAAAAAAGAAAAAAAAGAAATGCAAAGAATGGTAAAGTCTATAGACATTTGTTCCTGGAATGAAAAAAAAAAAAAAAAAAAAAAAAAAATGAAAAAAGAAAAAAAAAGCCAAGATGGTGGGATGGAAATTTATGAAGAAAACAAAATAAAAAAAAGTTTATTGGCAAAAGAAAGCTTAAGATGTAAGAGTAACATATATTGAGTCATTAAAGTCTGAAAAATGGGAAGGGATATAAAGGGAGTAACCCTGGAGGCATATTTAGAAGGAGTGCTGAGTGAAAATAAGGAGAGAGAGAGAGAAAAAAATATCAGGCTAATTTTTAAATATTCCTGGTATTTTTTGTGACTATAAAGTCATCACAGGTTAGGCTGATAGGTGAGGGACAGGATAATAACTAATGAGGTTATCAGGGAAGTGGAAATGGTTTAAATATTATCTGATTAGAGTCCAAATTATTTTACACACAAACACAAAATAAAGTGACTTTGAAAGCCTTAGTTCTTCACAGATTGCTCAGCCAAATAAATTGTGAGAGCATATAAGATTGCCTATAGGAATCTTGGTATAAAAATGCTGTGCGGATTATGCCACCGTGTCTGCTACAACAACAACTGGATGGTGTGACAATCAATGGTATAAAAGTAGTTAATTTAAAAAAAAAAAAAAAAAAAAAAAAAATCAATAAAAGTCTAAAATGTATTTTGAAAAAAATGAAAAATCTTATCTTGAAACTTTAAATTTAGTTTTAATTTCAACCTAATAGATTAAATTAAATATATCCCACGAGCAAAATGCTTCAGTGTATTTAAAACTGAATTTAAATTGATTGGAATTTTTTTATGCTTATTAGTAAAATCAATGAATTCATCCATATTGACAGATCTTTCAACACAACATAATTGTCTTTCTTAAAAAAAATCTTTCAAAATATACTTTTATGAAATGTTATTTGAAGAAAATTAGCCGATTTACAGTTTAATTCACCCAAATTGATACAAATATTACTTTTAATTTAAAATCTGATAGGAAAGTATTTTTTGACACAGGTGGGTGTTTTTTTGGAAGTGTTGGGTGATTTATTGATAGCCTGATGTTTTAGAAATTGAAATAAGGGGAACACATAAATGAATGAAATTACTTGACAAATACAAAAGGAAATACCCTTTTATATCATATTTTTCTTTTCTTTTTTAACTACAGAGTAATCTTAAAAGTTTAAGAAAATATTCTAAGCAATCTAATATTTTATTGAATTTTAGGTACTTTGGTTTTATAGTCTTGCATATGAAGATGTTTGTTGAGAAAATGCTAGAAAATTACCAATAAATTTTAAAAATTTTATAGATACACAATGTCATCAGAAAATAAAGGTAAGGACCATCTCAATTACAAAAATCAACATTTATACACACAAAAAAAAATTTCTTGATTAAATAAATCAGGATAACAGATATACAAAAAAACATTTTAAAGATTTTCGATAAAACATTTAAAAAATAATTTCATTCATTTGTGAATAAGCCCTGAAAGTTTCATTAAAATCTGACAATTATTTGACTTTTTTTCAATTTACAAATCAATGTTTT